AACAGTTGTATCTTCATTCTCATTAGTTTCCATGAATCTTTTTAATTCTCCCTTAATTTCCTGGTTGACCCTTTCATCTTTTAGCAGGATGGTCCTTAACCTCCACGTGTTTGAGGTCCTTCCAAACTTCTTGTTGTGATTTAGTTCTAATTTCAAGGCGTTATGGTCTGAGTATATGCAGGGGACGATCCCAATCTTTTGGTATCGGTTCAGACCCGATTTGTGACCCAGTATGTGGTGTATTCTGGAGAAAGTTCCATGTGCACTTGAGAAGAATGTGTATTCAGTTGAGTTTGGATGTAAAGTTCTGTAGATATCTGTGAAATCCATCTGGTCCAGTGCATCATTTAAAGCTCTCGTTTCTTTGGAGATGTTGTGCTTAGAAGACCTATCGAGGGTAGAAAGAGCTAGATTGAAGTCACCAAGTATAAGTGTATTATTATCTAAGTATTTCTTCACTTTGGTTAATAATTCGTTTAAGTATTTGGCAGCTCCCACATTTGGGGCATATATATTGAGGATTGCTAAGTCCTCTTGCTGGATAGATCCTTTAAGTATGATATAGTGTCCCTCTTCATCTCTCACTACAGTCTTCGGGGTAAATTTTAGTTTATCTGATATAAGGATGGCTACCCCTGCTTTCTTTTGAGAACCATTTGAATGGTAAATGGTTCTCCAACCTTTTATTTTCAGGTTGTAGGTGTTCTTCTGTCTAAAATGAGTCTCTTGTAGACAGCAAATAGATGGATCCTGCTTTTTTTATCCAGTCTGAAACCCTGCGCCTTTTGATGGGGTCATTAAGCCCGTTCACGTTCAGAGTTACTATTGACAGATATGAGTTTAGTGTCATCATGATATCTATTTAGTCCTTGTTTTTGTGGATTGTTCCACTGAACTTCTTCTTAAAGAGGAATTTTGAGAGTCCCCCTTAGAATTTCTTGCAGAGCTGGTTTGGAGGTCACATATTCTTTCAGTTCCTGCCTGTCTTGGAAGCTCTTTATCTCTCCTTCCATTTTGAATGAGAGCCTTGCTGGATAAAGTATTCTTGGTTGCATGTTCTTCTCGTTTAGGACCCTGAATATATCCTGCCAGCCCTTTCTGGCCTGCCAGGTCTCTGTGGAGAGGTCTGCTGTTACCCTAATATTCCTCCCCATAAAAGTCAGGGACTTCTTGTCTCTTGCTGCTTTAAGTATCTTCTCTTTATCTTTGGAATTTGCAAGATTCACTATTAAATGTCGAGGTGTTGAACGTTTTTTATTGATTTTAGGGGGGGAAATCTCTCTATTTCCTGGATCTGAATGCCTGTTTCCCTTCCCAGATTGGGAAAGTTTTCAGCTAGGATTTGTTTAAATACATATTCTGGCCCTCTGGCCCTTTCGGCGCCCTCGGGAACCCCAATTAAACGTAGGTTTTTCTTCCTTAGGTTGTCATTTATTTCCCTTAATCTGTCTTCATGGTCTTTTAATTGTCTGTCTCTTTTTTCCTCAGTTTCCCTCTTTGCCATTAACTTGTCTTCTATGTCACTCACTCGTTCTTCCACCTCGTTAACCCTCGTCGTTAGGACTTCTAGTTTGGATTGCATCTCATTCAATTGATTTTTAATTTCTGCCTGATTGGATCTAAATTCTGCAGTCATGAAGTCTCGTGACTCTTTAATGCTTTTTTCTAGAGCCACCAGTAGCCGTATAATTGGGAAAAGGAGAAAAAGAGAGAGAAGGAAAGAAAAGAGAAAAAGAAAAAAGAAAAAGAAGAAAAAAAAGGAAAAAAGAGAAGAAAAAGAGAAAGAAAAAGAAAGAAAGGTGAAAAAAAGGGGTGGGGGAAGGAATCAGAAATCAAAAAGAAGAAAAATAAAAAACAAAAACAAAAAACACGGGGGAGTATCTTCTGATTCTGTAGACTTTAAGTCCCTTGACTTCCCCTGGAACTGGTCCGTCCAGCTGGTCTTCTGGGGGAGGGGCCTGGTGTGCTGATTTTCAGGTGTTAGCACTTGCGGGAGCTGCTCTGCCCCCTGCCTGGTGCAGTGCTCAGTGGGGGTTGTTTACCCCGTGAGGCCCCAGGAGGAACAACCCCTGTGGCGGGGCCAGCTCTGCAGCCCTGGAGTCAGCCTCCGCAGTAACTACGGGGCTCTCCGTCCGCAGGGCCTGGAGGCTCCGGGGCGGGGCCGCTGATCTGCTCAGCTCCGGGCAGGAGCGTCCTCGCTGTCCTGGGCCCTCCCGGCCTCTGCCTGTCCCGGGGGAGGCCGGATTTTGGGCTGTGTCCCAGCGCCCTGTGCTCCCGGGGCCTGCGCTGTTGGATTCGCGCTCCCGCCCCGCAGCCCCCTCCGCAGAGCCGCCCGAGCCCCTCCGAGCTGCTCCGGGTCCCGCCGTGCGCGCTGCAGCCCTTAGGGATCTCGGCGCACTCTCCCGGGGCGCAGGTGTCTGTTAGTGTCCCCGGGAGCCCGAGGGCATCCCCGCCCTCCTGGGTCCTGCCCCAGCTCCCTGCGGGCCCCTTTCACCCCCGGGAAGGTTGGTGCAGCTCCTGCTTCTCCGGGACGGGGCTCTCCTGTCCTGGGGACACTCGCCCCGGCCTCAGCCCGGCGCCTCGCGGGGCCCCTCCCCCTCGGAGGCCTTTTGTTTCTTTATTTCTTTTCCCCCCGTCTTCCTACCTTGATAGAAGCGCGAACTCTTCTCACTGTAGCGTTCCAGCTGGTCTCTCTTTAAATCTCAGGCCGAATTCATAGATTTTCAGGATGATTTGAAGGTTATCTAGGTAATTTGGTGGGGACAGGTGACTTGGGGACCCTACTCTTCCGCCATCTTGCCCCTCCTCCAGGAAATTTTCTTATTGATGAGTCAAACTAAATTATTGCCTTCCCCAAACTAGGTGATGGGGGAAGTGGTGGTGGATGGGGGTGGGGAGACAGGAGCACATGGTCTCTGGGTGGAATCCACACTTCCCAGGTTGGCATCCAAGGCCATATGGCAGGGACTTTGCAGTTTTATCTGTGTTTATTTATTTATTTTAAAGATTTTATTTATTTATTCTTGAGAGACACAGAGACAGAGGCAGAGACATAGGCAGAGGGAAAAGCAGGCTCCCCATGGGGATCCCGAATCAGAACTCGATTCCAGGACCCCAGGATCACAACCTGAGCCGAAGGCAACACTCAGTCACTGAGCCATCCAGGTACCCCTTTATCTCTGTCAGGATTCAGACACTTCCACACTTCCAGTTGCATTGGGTGCAGATTGTGAAAATCGTTGACAGGAGGTAGGAAGAAAGATGAACAAGGACCATGACTCAAGGTCTGCTGCCCCCGGGGACTCTCTCTGAGCTTGGTGGTAAAGGCCTAAGAGCAGAAGCTAGTGAACCTTTCACTGAGGACTCTGAGGCTGGCAGATAAATACTCAGTACCCGTTGGCCCCCATACAGATGAGAGAAGTTCTTACTCCTTCATGGGCACTAACATATTTGAGAACATCGTGGCCAGGGTATCAGGACTCTCGAGGTGGCAATCAGATGTACAGAATGATGCAATTTTGTGGGCAGAGGACATGGGTGAGTGTGGGTGCTGGGGTGTGCAAATAACAGGTGTGATCAGGTCATTCTGAAAAACTCCTTCATCAACACCCAGAACATGCCTTTCAGGGGCTTTTTATTTTCCTCGGTGCCTACCTGAGGGGAGTCAACTGTCCTGCACTAGAAATGTGCTAAAAGCCAGGGAATTAGGCATACTGCAGTTAACATGGCTCCATTTGTTGTGAGATTTCAGAAGACATGAGGTGTAAACATAATTTTATGTATTGTTTTCTAATCATTTCCATTGGTTTTGGTCTTCAAATAAAAATTGAGGGTAATATGTCACCTATCTCCTTCCTATTTGTTTTACCTTTTTCCTTTCAGGAACCTGTTTCAGCGAAGGTCTTGCTGGCGTTACATGCATCATGGACAAGACTGTACACACCTGGTGTACCTTCCTTTCTCAGCAGTCTACAGGTGCCAGTGGTCCTCTCTCAAGGTCAGTACACAGGGATGCCTGGGTGGCTCAGTGGTTGAACATCTGCCTTCAGCTCAGGGTGTGATCCTGGGGTCCTGAGATCAAGTCCTGCATTAGGCTCCCCCCTCTGCCTTTGTCTTTGCCTCTTCCTTTGTCTCTCATGAATAAATAAAATTTTAAAATCTTAAAAAAAAAAAGAGGCATGGGCAGCCCGGGTGGCTTCATGCCCAGAGCGTGATCCTGGAGACCCGGGATCAAGTTCCATATCAGTGGGAGTGCAAGTACCCTGCATGGAGTCTGCTTCTCCCTCTGCCTATGTCTCTGTCTGTCTGTCTGTCTCTCTCTCTCTCATAAATAAAATAATAAAAAAAAAGCACACCTGCTCATCTTACCTTCCACTCACAACACCCTGGGTTTTCCTCCCCAGGCACCAGATCCAATAATAAGAAAGCTAAACCTTTTCCTAAGGTATGTGTGTCCCATTCAGTCCAATAGAATGAGTTTACCTTTGCAGCTAGTGTAAACTGCATTTTCCACAAAGGCCTCTTAGAAAATAAGAGAGAGCTCAGGGCCTTTTGTTTCTTTCTGTTTAATTAGTAGGGAAAACTCTCCAAAATGCATTTAGGTTGCCTCCAGAATCGGGCATGTAACAGAATGAGTGATACTTCATTTCTCATAATGGAGGCCAGAAGAGGAGATAGAATGCAGATGGAAGCACATGCTGTTAATAAGCTATAACAGAAGAGAACCGGTCCACCCACTGTCAGAGTGTGGGGCAGGGGACTTGTGTGCATGAGTGTGGATGGTGGTGGGTGTCAGGGTGTAAGCTGAAATTCTGGATTCTTAAGGCAAAAAAGGGGGGAAAAAGTCTGTTCTATTCAGTGCTTATAATGTTAGACCAGCCCAGGTTATGTGGAGCCAGTTCACAAGCAGTATAATATTTCACTAATCAGTATATGGATTTAGAAGATATATGGTACAGTAAAATTAAAAAAAAAAGCCCCAAAACCCAGAACACTCCTTTATGTTCCATCACCTCTAAGTTATTTATTAATTAAATCTATAGATTTTTTCAGGAATCCATACTATGCGTACTGGTGATCTCGGCGCACACAACATGATTTTTAATACAGAAAACAACATGAAAACCATTACAGTAGTTGAATTTTTAATTTAAAAAAATCCCAAAGTTTATATGTTTTAACTGCTTAATAAAAATGTTAATATATACTTAATTTCATTGAAATACATTTTACATATAATACTGCGCAAATTTAAGGGTCATCTGATACATTTATATATTGTAATATGAGTGTAGTGATAGTTATCACCTCTATTGTGTTATATATTTATCATTTCTTTGCTGTGGTGTGAATAATCAAGATCTTGCCCTAACTTAGCAAGTATGATGATTATAATACAACGTTGTTGTCTACTATACATTAGATCTTCAGGACTTATTTATTATTTGTAAGTTTTTACCCTTAAAAGACATGTCTCCTATTTCCCAACCCTCAGCTCCTGGTAATCACTATTTAAATTTAAAATAATGTGAATAGGCAAATATTTTGCAACCCAGAGGGTGACTGAGGGTTTGTGCTGGGTCAGCTCTGTTTTGATTCACACTAAAACTGATATCATTGGCCATTCAGTATTCACCTAGAAAACCCCAATCACCCCAAACAAACCATGAATTTTGTGGTTTCCTTGAAGATTTTCAGGGCAAAAAGTTTTGTTATCACCTAATATATAACACGTCTAATTGGGGGAGAAAACTCTCCATTAGTGATGTCACTTTACAAGGTCTTTCACTAGGTCCTTGGCATCCAAATGAGTCTTCTGTTCTGCTGCTTTCCTATCACCTTGGACTTGGGCTCAGCCAAGCATGTTTGAGCAAAGCAAGTCTTCAGCTTACAAGGAAATTTTCCTAACAGTGGCCAAGAAAGTGAAATTTTTCTCCATATGATTTACAGTCTTTAAGAACAAACCAGCATTCTTCTCTGTTTCTCTCTTTTGTCTACTCAGTCCCCATCCCTACTGGCATGACATTTATTTTTCCAGACATTTTATTTTATTTTTTTAAAATTTTTTTAAATTTTTATTTATTTATGATAGGCACACAGTGAGAGAGAGAGAGAGAGAGGCAGAGACACAGGCAGAGGGTGAAGGAGGCTCCATGCACCGGGAGCCCGACGTGGGATTTGATCCCGGGTCTCCAGGATCGCGCCCTGGGCCAAAGGCAGGCGCTAAACCGCTGCGCCACCCAGGGATCCCTTTTCCAGACATTTTAAATAAATGTATTATTTTACTTTCTGGCATGTTGTACAGAATCTCCCTTTTTATTCATTTGCTGTAACATAGGGAGAGCAGGATGGAGGCAAAATCTACCCATGTGCCTCCTGAAACTCTTGAACCCTGATTGCCTAACCCCATTGCTTGTCTTGGATATGTTCCTTCTAAGTTCAGCCTGTTCTCTGCTCTCTTTTTTTCAAACTACGTTCCCATCTCACATAATGGGACAATTGAACTCAAGCTTTCTAGGACAGTCTAGATTGAGGACTGTCTGGGGAGGACGCAGAAGTGAAGGACAGGGGATTCCTAGCTTTATGGAGGCTTTGGTCCTCCAGCCTTTGAAGGGACACAGCACGTTACTGTCTATGCAGGGCCAAACTGTACAAGATCTAAAATGACTCCAAGGGTGGAAAAATATTACAAAAATGGACCACAGTGTTACAGATGTGAGGGATCTGGCTGCTTTATATAAACATAGAGACAAACCCAGGGCATCACCCCATGGAGGATGACTAAGGGAATGTCATAATGCAAATTGCTCCCAAGACGTCAATGGGAAGTAGCCCCCTTACCAAGCCCCGGGCCCTGCCCCATCCAATCTACTCCCTGTCAGAACTCCCTGAGCAATTCATATGTTAACACTTGGCCCAGCAGTTTCCTCCACAAACCTGGTCTAGACCCATAGCCAGCAGCTCAGCCCATGCCTACCCCACAGTACCACTTGTCAAATATCGTGAATACCCAGTTGGCGGAGGGGTTTCTGTTCCCTCCCCTCCATCATCCCATGGGCACCATTATCATGATTCCTCATTCCTCAGCGAAAGATGCTGGGGGGATGAAGCTTCTAGAGTCCAGATGCCTCTCAGAGTTCTCTGCTGGCTGCATTTCTCCATTCAGCTCCTGAAGAAACGCCAACAGGTGCAAGGCCACGGAATCAGTTCTGTTTTTAGAAAGTCTGATACAGGCAATTTTTTGCAGCTTATTTTTCATCTTTTCTTTCTCCTTTGATTTCTGGTCTATTTTCATGCCCTGTATGAAATGATGGATGGCCTTGTCTTCGTTTTTCATTTCATACAGCTGGAAGTTGCCATAACGCAGATGGAGCACTTGTTTGGCTCCAGGAGAAAGCTCTTTGCTGAATTCTTTTTGGAAGTAGTGCTCTGCTTTGTCGTACTGACCTGCTTGGGCATAGAGGCAGGCCAGATAGGAGCAGACACAGGATAGGTTTGCACTGGCCTCATCCACTCTCTTTAAATGATACACAGCTTGTCCCATGGCTTCTTCTAACTTCTCTCTCTTCCCATACATTTCATTCTTTCCTATGTCCTGCAATAGGTCGAGGACTTTTGTCCTATAGAGGCATCCAATATGCCAGTGCAGGTAGGCATTGTTTGGCATGCCTTCTAGAGCCTTTTTTAGCAGTTCGACAGCTTTGTCCAGTGCTCCTTTTCTTTGATACAGTTTTGCTGCTCCACAAAGCACATCTGTTGCACATGAGTTTTCCTCCAGCACTTCCTCAATAAGACTCTCCCCTTCCCCTTCTTCCTTCATCTTTTGAAGTTTCAGAGCCAAAAGGACTTTCACATATTGGTTGTCAGGATTCAGCCGAATGGCCCACCTCAGAGGGTTGATGGGATTCTGAGGCAGTGGCCAGGTCTCCAACCGGTAGCTCGCAATGGCTAGTCCAGAGATGAATTCTGGGTTCTTGGGATTCCTTTCCAGAGCCTTCTCAAAGCACACCTTGGCCCTCTCGTTGTGCTGCCTGCCACACTGTAACCGGGCCCACCCCTCCTGGAAGTCTAGTTCAGGGCTCTCTAAGCTGTAGGGGCTGTGAGACTTCTCACATACTCGTCTTACCTTGTCCACGTAAATCTGAGCATCTGCAAATCTGCCCAGGTGATAGTAGACCCAGGCATAGTTACCCCAGGTGACCAGACTCCGGATCTCTGCTTGATCAGAGTGCTCCCGCTGGATCAGCTCCTCTGCCTGCTGGAGGCATTCCAGGGCTGCCTTGTTGTGGCCTCTGCGGTGTTTTATGTAGGCCAGTATGTTGAAGACTGTGGCTTTGAACTCATTGTTCTGGAATTCAGTTACATCGCACACCTTGTCTTCAAAATCATCCAGGGACTTTTCTCCATCCACCAAGGTCCAGGTGAAATGGCATTTCAGTTGCCATAGGCAGCTCTCTAAGGCCTTCCTGGTGCTCTCGCTGGAAGGCAAAACAGAAAGGTGAGGCTCTGAGACACAGCATGGATTCTCCTGACAAGAAACGGGAAGCATGGCAGTACAGATCTCCTCCTCCTCTTCCTCAGGGCTTTTACCCCAATCAAAAAAGAACAATATTTCCTTTTTGTTTCTGTATTTTGGTGTATGCGTTAAATGCACAGGGACACAGGGGTTAGGTGATGTGGGTAGTGGAAGGATTAGGGAAAGGGCCATGTTTTTTTTTTTTTTTTTAATTTACTTATGATAGTCACAGAGAGAGAGAGAGAGAGAGAGGCAGAGACACAGGCAGAGGGAGAAGCAGGTTCCATACACCGGGAGCCCGATGTGGGACTCAATCCCGGGTCTCCAGGATCGCTCCCCGGGCCAAAGACAGGCGTCAAACCGCTGCGCCACCCAGGGATCCCAGGGCCATGGTTTTTATGAGAAAGAAACAGACAGGGCAGGAGCAGGGGGAAGGGCAGAGGGTGCAGCAGACTGCCCACTGAGCAGGGAGCTCAATATGGAACTTGATCCCAGGACCCTGAGATCATGACCTGAGCTAAAGGCAGCTAAAGGCAGCTAAAGGAAAGCTAAAGCTAATCCACTAAGCCATGCAAGTGCCCTGACTTGATGCAGTTTTTAAGAAGAAAGGCTATTTGATTGCTTTATGTTCTTCATCTTACCTAGCATTTACTTTTGTATTTGAAAATTTTAGCTTTGGAATCATATATTCTGTTAATGTCTCCCCAGCTTGATTTTAATCTCATTACCCCTATGCATTGTCTTTTGTATTTTTAGCTTCTTGGTCCTTAATTTGTCCTTTTTGTCCTTATTGCTATTTCTTATTATTTGAGTTTTATATCCTTAACTGATTTTCTTTGGTCATCCAAACTTTTTTTTTTTTATCAAATTGGTTTTGTCTTTTGTTTTTAAAGGCAATTTTGTTTTTGTTTTTGTTGTGTTAAGATTTTATTTGTTTAATCATGAGAGACACAGAGAGAGGCAGAGGGAGAAGCAGGCTCCCTATAGGGAGAGCCTGATGCAGGACTCCATCCCAGAACCCCAGGATCATGACCTGAGCCAAAGGCAGACACTCAACCTCTGAGCCACCCAGGTGCCCCTTATCTTGTCTTTTTATTAATTCAGCAATCTCTATTCTCATTTTGTCTGAGCTTTCCCATTTTAACTATTTAAATCATATTTCAACAATTCTAAATTCTTATTTCCTCTGCTTTTGCATCATCATACTACTTTAGTATTATGTATGTTAGCAATGTTTTAAACTTTTTTTAAAAGATGTATTTATTTATTTATTTATTTATTATTTATTTATTTATGATAGACATAGAGAGAGAGAGAGAGAGAGAGAGAGAGAGAGAGAGGCAGAAACACAGGCAGAGGGAGAAGCAGGCTCCATCCATGCCAGGAGCCTGACGCAGGACTAGATCCCGGGACCCCAGGATCATGCCCTGGGCCAAAGGCAGGCACTAAACCACTGAGCCACCCAGGGATCCCATGTTTTAAACTTTTATCTTGAAATAAAATGTAATCATTTTCTACCCTCCACCTCACTGCTATTTCTTAGACTGACATCTTAACATTTCTCATTTCTATTGGTCTATTAAAATCTTTGCATTTGTGGCTTTAATTATCTTTTGAAATTTTATTTTTTCTCTCCTGTGGTTTGTGTTCACAGTATTGGAAGTGTGGTTACAGGAGGAGGTTCACAAGATGCCTAGCATCTTTTCTTATAGGTAATGCTCTTTTTCCTTTAAGGGACTCTTGCAACTCTTCTAAGAAGAATCTCCATTCCCTTCAGTATTGGTTCTTTAAATAAAATTAAAATAAAGTAAAAGTAAAGTAAAATAAGGAAAACTCACCACACAGAAACCCTATCCTGAATAACTTCAGAGATGAGTAGGTTAAAAATCATTAACTTCCCAAAATCATTTCTCTGCATTGCCTCTGTATTAGAATCCCTGAAACATTGCTTTTTCTCATTTAAAAACATATTTTTTCATAGCATGTGTTAATTAGCCCTTTTATGAGGAGCCAATATTCTAAATATTATAGATTCTGACATAGACAAACAGTAGATGCATGGAAAGTTACGCAGTGTGCCAAAAACCATCTTTGAAATACTTGTCAAGTATTTCAAATGGAAGATTATATTCCCCCATTCTTCCTGCCCCCTATCTCTCACTTTTTACACCCTCTCCCTCTCTCCTTCCCATCCAAGTTGATGATTACACTGGGGCTGGGCACCCAAACTCAAGTGGAAGCTGGAAATGGAAACAAGAGGCAGGTGGGAGCCAGTGGTCTGGAGTTAGGGAGAGTACTGTGCTTGCTGGAGGGCTCAAGGGGCTGTGATCTGCAGCATGCCCTGGAGAGATGGTGACCTAGAGGCACATGGAATAGATACAAAGTCTAGGTCCCTCAAGCTTTCCATGGTCGTGTTCTGGCCCTCCTGGGCTCCAGTTCTGCATGTGGGTCCTGAGCCATTCCAGGAACTTTAAGTCAGTTCCTGTTCATTTATGCTACTTGAGTCAGATGGAGACTTAACTACTCCAAGTAGAATAAACAGAAAAGAGGAAGGAGAATGGGTAGGAGTGTCTGCATGGGGAAGGACCCTCTGTCCTCTTGAAGTCCTGGACAGGCCTTAGTGGAGAGCCAGGTTGTCTGAGCCTCTTAATATAATATGCGGTGGGATGGGTGGTGTGTGTGTGTGTGTGTGTGTGTGTGTGTGTGTGTGTGTGTGTGAGCCTAGGAGAATACCTGGTGTGATATCTGGCATGCTAATGACAGTAGACTTCCCTTGAAAATTTCATGTCCAATCTGATATATTTTTCTTCCCAATAAGATTACATAAACTTAGCACATAAGCTCTTTAGCAACTCTCTCCTTTAATTAAAAAAAAAATTTAAGATTTATTTATTTGAAAGAGAGTGCACACACTCAAGCACATGACCATGTGAGTGCAGCAGGGAGAGGGGAGGGGCAATGGAAGAGAGAGAATCTCAAGCAGACTCCCTGCAGAGTGTGGAGCCCTATGTGGGGCTTAATATCAAGACCCTGAGATCATGACCTCCACAGAAATCAAGAGAGGGATGCTTAACTGACTAAGTCCCCCTGGGTGCCTGGCAACTTTCATTTTTTATAAGAGAAACAGAAAGAGTGAATACAATTGAAATTATCTCCAAAATATAAAGCCTATAGTCAATTGTGCATTTGCAGGATAGAGGCATTTACTATACACACATGTAAAATCTTTGAGTATCCATTCCAAAGCATCCAATTTCACTGTGCGATTATGGGCTTTCATTTCCACCAATAAATCAGAAGTTGGTTCCAGACACTTGCTTCCTGGACTGAGACTTCTGAGACTTATGCTCCTGATGACTGTAGAAGTTCCAACTGTTTATACACATCAGTTTCTTCCTCTGCTTCTTGTCTGCATAAAAGCCACAGTGACACCATTCACCAGGTTCAGAGCTAATGCTGCACCAGTGTCTGAAGGCAGTACTAGCACCGAAGAGCCTGTTAGAAATGCCCATCCTTGGACCTCTGTGGAGGCCAAGAAAATTAGGGCCATTCAAGTTTAACATTGGCACAAGTACAGCCATTGTAGCTTTGGCAGCCATCTCAGGCCACTGTGACCAGGCCACTGTGACCAGGTACTGAACTCTACCTTACCCCGGCTACAAAAAACCCACAAAGCACGCCCTTATCGGAATAAGGAAGCAAGAGCTTGTGAGACCTCTTTACTGAAGATTCTCACACCCCCACCCTTACTGAAAAACCCCACCCTACTCCTAGACCAGCCCATAAAAACCCAGCTGGAACCCACCTCGGGGTCCAAGTCCCTGCTCCGCTGTGTCGGGTATACTTGGACCCAAGCTCGACCTTGCTAATAAGACCCAGCTGTAATTCACCTCGGGGTCCAAGTCCCTGCTCTGCTGTGTCAGGTATACTTGGACCCAACCTCGAGCTTGCTAACAGCTCCTTGCTGGTTTTCTCCGATTCGCAATCTTGGGCACAACACCTCAACCTAGGATTACCAAATCAGAATCTGAAGTGGGGAGTGGAGTCCAGGAATTGTTTTTAGCAAGCCCTCCAGATAGATCTTATGCATGCTCAGATTTGAGAACCACTGTCTTAGAGCGCAGGGCCAATGCCTGGCAACAGCACCTAATTACTAAGGGATCTAAGAAAATTAGAAAAGAGACTGATGGGTCTGTGTTATTATGGGACAGAGTCTAAGAGAAGACTATGCTAAAGTTCTAAGAAGTTAGAAAAGGTTTCTAAATATTCTGAATTACCCTAGAAACAGACATCTGGAAATACATCAGATCTTTTTCTTTCCTGTCAGACATGCAGAGTTGCAGAAAAAGTATCCCTTCCAGAAGAGAGATCAGGAAACTTATAGAAGTAGGGCAATGTGTCCTCTAGGAAGTCAAAGCTGGGGCTGGTGTCCCTGCACTCTGGAGCTCCCAGGGCTGAGGCGGAGGCTGAGGCATCTAGTCTGGCTATCCCACCCTCACATTGGGAGAAAACAGAAAGCTCCCTTCCCACCCTACTTCCTCCCAGGGCAATCTTGGTGCAAAAGAGCATTTTAGAGGTGGGGGCTCTTTTCTCCAAGCATCTGACCTCCAATCCATACTTCAGAGAGAAGGACTTGGGCCAATCAGTAGCATTTGGGGGTAAAATATATTCTGCTGAATTAATGACTATATCTTATCAGCCCTAATACAAATCTAAGATGAATGAAAGGAAATCTACCTTCGCATGAGTTGGGGTTGCTGCCTGGAGTACATCTTAACAATATCTGCTAAAAACAGATCCTTCGGGATCCCTGGGTGGCGCAGCGGTTTAGCGCCTGCCTTTGGCCCAGGGCGCGATCCTGGAGACCCAGGATCGAATCCCACGTCGGGCTCCCGGTGCATGGAGCCTGCTTCTCCCTCTGCCTGTGTCTCTGCCTCTCTCTCTCTCTCTGTGACTATCATAAATAAATAAAAAAAAAAATTAAAAAAAAAAAAAAAAAAAAAAAATAAAAAAAAAAAAAAACAGATCCTTCATTAAATAAGAATCTTACTGGGACGCCTAGGTGGCTCAGTGGTTGAGTGTCTGCCTTTGGCTAAAACCCCCTCCCCCCCATCCGATGCCTAGCAGGGAGCCTGCTTCTCCCTCTGCCTGTGTCTCTGCATCTCTCTTTCTGTGTCTCTCATGAAGAAATAATAAAATCTTAAAATAAAATAAGAATCTTATTAAAAGCCTCTCACTTAATCCTTTCAAACAGGAAACAAAACAGAGTCTTCCCTGCCCCACCCCATCTTTAAATGAAGCACCTGCCTAATTGAAGCACCTCTCTCTCTCTCTCTCCCTTTCTCTCTCTCTGTGGTTCCTTCCTCCCTCCTTCCTCTGGACCTCATCTGTCAGCATCCCCATGAGGCACCCTGAGGAAGTTTGACAGAGTTGGGGCAGAAAAATCTCAGAAATAAACCAGCCAGCATTGGCAAGAGGAACACTAGGCCTTGCAGCTAGAGCACCGCAAGGCTGCAAACAAATGCAGAAGCAAAACAAGTCAGGAACTTGGGTTTTAGGAGGGTGGCCATGTGGGATTTGCATTCACAGCAAGAGCCTGGATATTTTCAGCACAATCAGGGCAGGAGCATTTTTACCTCATGATTGTGGAGTGCTTCTTAGCGGTGCTGGAAGGCTGTGGCTCTGGCTACCGTGCTCTTCAGAAGTCTCCCTCCTCTGCCTCTGAGAAAGACGCTAAGGAGACCTGTATATATGCAAGCACTTCCTGGCGCCTCTTCCTTGTTTTCCTGCAGTTCACTTTAGGAAACAGAAACTGAAACTGGACTGTAAAACTGGTCGGGCTCTACTAGGAAATGAATCTTGAGTAAGAGCCCCGCCTCCAGCACCCTGTGTCCCCCCCCCCCCCCTGGAGTGAGCCAGAACTTCTTCAGGCTGTAATGATATCCTAGATCAGCTGACATCAAGGGAGCCCAGCTTGGAGAAGGATGCGGGTACCAAACACTAAGCAGCTTGCTTCATTACCACAATGTTTACCCATCCTCCCTGTGCTCGCCCTTATTACCCTGTGGTCTGTGGGCCCCTGAAAGGAAGGGGGCTGTTTCATTCAGGACTGAGTGTCTAGTCCCTGCATTAGTACGGGGCACATGACAGGCATTCAGAAGGTAGAGGCTGAATGAATGAAAACACGATCAGAACCATGGGCTCTGATGCCCTGTCTGGATTTGAACCCAGTCTCTGTGTATGTGCTGTGACACTGGAAATTACTGAATGTTTCTCGTGCTTTCGTCTGTCCTCCTGTGAAATGCTGATCCCACTACTACTACCCAACTCATAATAGTGCTGTGTGAGGATCAAATCGGTTAAAGCATGAAATGTCCTTAGAATAGTGCCTGGCACATAAGAAGTGCATGCTACCTTTTATTATAATTAATAGCTAAAGTCATTAACCAACATTAACCAAAGAAGCCAGAAGGGAAATTTTTAAAAAGATTTATTTATTTATTTATTTATTTATTTATTTATTTATTTAACAGAGAGAGAGAGAGTGGGAGCACAAGCAGGGTGAGCAGCAGGCAGAGGGAGAAGCAAGTTCCCCCCTGAGCAGGGAGCCCTGTGGGGGGCTGGATCCCAGGACCCCAAGATCATGCCGAGGCAGACGTTTCACCGACTGAGCCTCCCAGGTGTCTCAGAGGAGACACTTTTGATGTTGCCTTTTCTGGAATGTTAGCTCCTCTCAGGGTCCACCATCCATCCCTCATGAGCACTAACCCTAAGCCAAATGCCTTCTAATACCTGTACACGTCCTGGGCTTTCCTGAACACCGCGACACTTAAAATCCTGTGGGTATCCAGCACTCCTATGTCACCATTTACCAGCGCAGTGGTTTGCTATGATGGAGGAAATGTATTTTCTTTGCTTTTGCCTTATTCATACGCTTGATTGCAAAGGGATTACTGTGTGTGTAGACCCAAGAGGAAAAAAGGTAACAACACTTGGAGACTTTGACGGCAGGAAATTATGCTGAGCATGAGTGACACCTATTCTCCAGTACAATTGAATACAGCTGAAGCAGGTAAATCAGTCTTGGAGAAAGCCTTATTTATGGCAGGTTGTGTCTGCGTGCTGCAAGGTGGAAGCAGAAGCTCCTCCTCTTGACAGTCCTCTACCCTTTTATTGGGACACACAGTCAAGCCTATTCCAATTGGAAACCCTTACTTTTAGGTGTCATTCATGAGTTATAAATTCTAGTATGTATTTACAGAAATGTCTGTTAGGGGCACCTGGGTAGCATGGTCAGATAAGTGTCTGCTTTTGGCTAAGGTCATAATCTCAGGGTCCTGGGATGGAGTCCTGCATCAGGCTCCCTGTTCAGTGGGGAAGTCTGCTTGTCCCTCTGCCTCTGCCCCTCCTCCTGCTCGTGCTCTCTCTCAAATAAATAAATAAAATCTTAAAGAAAAAGAAATGTATGTTAGATGTACAAGAAATGCTGCAGAAGGAAACTAGGAAAACTGGGATTTTTTGTTTGTTTGTTTGTTTTGAATTTGCACTCAAGCGAACTATTGGATCGCAATGTTTAAATCTTATTATAGAGGTACCCAGAGGGGAGAAGCACAGGGAAAGCATGTTTTGCTCTTCAGATATCTGTATGGCAAGCACCTGTGTACGTTCACACAAGAAGTACGCACCAGCTGCTCTGGTAGCTGAGTGAGTGTTAGTATATGTAGTGTAAATGCAAAAATAGAAACTGGAAAAGAAAACCAAGTCTCTTCTGGTAATATTTCTATATGAGAAAAATGAAGCTTCCCCAGTGAGAGTTCTGATTATTCCAGCTCTTACAACTATTTATGTATCTGTGTCCCAGAATATAGGCCTAGGGCTATCCCTGTCTCAGTGTGGACTAGGGGAGAGTCCTTGTCTACTGTTTTCAGAATGAGGAAAGCCATTTCCATATTGTGTGGCCACATCAGCTACAAAGTGGTGTAATGCACCAGTTCCCACATTGCCATCAACCAAAGGTGATTTCAGTTTCACCTGGGGACCTGCCACAAATGCAAATTCTCAGGCTCCATCTTCAGTAAAATGAGTCAGAAATTCTAGGAGTGGGGCCAAGCAATCTCTGTGTTAGTAAACTTTCCAAATAATTCTCATACTTGCCATAAAGTCTGAAAACCACATCATATTTTGACTGTAAGTAAAAATTCTTTTAAGTCCATAAAACAAAATTCTATAGATTTTTCTTGAGATTTATGGAGAAAATGGACCTCTTTTTTGTTCAATGTCCCTGCAGAGAATGTTTGATGAAAGCTTTGTCCACCTAGATGAGTAAGTGGCTAGTTCAATACACACCTGCTAGAGGACCCTTCACACCCTAAATATCCACAATCTCTTAGTGATGCTCCATTCCCCTCAATGGACAGGGTGTGACTTCCTGTGGTCTGGTGGGAACAAACCTCAAAGACTAGATGTGATAACTCTTGTATGCCCTGTGCTCTGGTGGGGCACAAGAACCATAATAGACATCCCAACTGAAGAAACATGGAGGAAGCTCAGAGATCTCAAGTCAGTGGCAATGATGAAAGTCCACTGGATAGGCATTTGGAAGATTCTTTCTTAAAGCCAGATTCTGCTCTCTGATGGGAATCTTGCCCTCATTTTCCAGACCTCTGGTTCCATCCTCTGGGAGGCTTTTGGGACGTTAACTCTCTTGTTCCCCCATCCTCCCCCATGGGCTGTGTTCTGTGTTCACCTTCTGGGCCCTGGAGACTCCTGTGCTCACACAGAACTTTTGTTGATCGTGTCGCTTGGCAGAGAGCATTTATTCAAAGCCCCAGTGCCTTCAACGAATGCCTCAAATATTTGTTAGTGTCTGATTCTGAGAATAAAAAGAGTTTTAAAATTCAATCGGGGTGCTTGGGTGGCTCAGTGATGGAGCATCTGCCTTCAGCTCAGGGTGTGACCCTGGGGTCCTGGGCTGGAGTCCTACATTGGGCTCCCCACAGGGAGCCTGCTTCTCTCTCTGCCTGTGTCTCTGCCTCTCTCTGTCTGTCTCTCATGAATAAATAAATAAAATCTTAAAAAAAAGGTTGATTATCACAGAAGCATTGATAAGTAAAAGGGGGATGAAAAAGACCACACAAGGGTATGAGGGACAGCAGAGGAGATGTGTAGAAATGGTCTCTGCACATCTATCAATTTCTGGTTCTTTGTGAAACTTAGCAGTGGGAGCCTTTTGGCCTCTCTCACCAGCTGCCCTGCTGGGTCTCTGGAAGCAAAGCAGTGGCTACTTCAGTTTCCAACCAGACTTTGCACCTTCCTTTGGGTTCCTCTCACATTTACTAAAGGGCTACAGGCAGACACCGCTCCCTGCCCCATAACACACAAGGCCAAGTAACAAGGTGAACTCATCCTTCCATGTCAGGTCAGGGAAGGCTCACTGTGAACTTTCTGGAGCTTATGATATGATGGCAAGGTTAAACCTTCACACATCTGATGACAGAGAGGGGAAAATGCTGCAACACTGGCAAGTGCCTGGGATGGATGAAGCTCTTCCCTGTTTATTGGGAAATGAGGAAACTGGAGGGTGTGTGCTGCCGATGAAAGCACAACATTGCAGTGTGATCTTGAAGAGCTGTGCCCTTCATCTTGGTTCATTTGCATTCATCACATTACTTGATGCCTTTTGGGAGTTCAAGAAAAGTTTGTTGCACAGAAAGTAAATTCCTGAGCATGGATGGCAAAAGAGACAGCAGAGTGGGACAGGTGGAGAAAAGCCATCAGAGCAAAGGTCCAAGTCATGGCTACATTTTGAAGGATTAGTTACGGTGGATCTCATTATGGATGGATGAAGAGAGTGAGAGGACATGCTGTGTATATCAGGGTGGGGTGAGTGGGTGAGTGGGTGGGTGGTGGCAGTAAAGTTAAAGGCATGAATGAAGACCTGGGAACCAGAGACTCGTCCGTTATGTGCAGAGATCCTCAAATGTTGCTAAGTGTGGCTTGTACTCAGCAGGAACTAGTTGCAGAATGGATACCATTGGAATGGTCACAGCACTCCAGTGCGATTACCTTTGGTTTTGAATTTGTTTTTAATATATGCTTTGGGTATCAAATTCAAAATTTAAAAATTGGGCACTCCGGGTGGCTCAGCAGTTTAGCGCCGACTTCAGCCCAGGGCGTGATCTTGGAGACTATGGATCTGGTCCCATGTCAGGCTCCCTGCATGGAGCCTGCTTCTCCCTCTGCCTGTGTCTCTGCCTCTCTCTCTGTGTGTGTCTCTCTGTGTGTCTCTCATGAATAAATAAATAAAATCTTTTTAAAAATAAATAATAAATTTTTAAAAATTAAAAAAATTTAAAAATCTATACAATTGAAATATAGAAGTCTTTCTCCAATACAGACTCTCAGATAACCTGCTTCTTCCCTGGAAGCTACCCTAGAGGAAATATATTCTTTCCCAAATAGTCTATGCATAATGTGATATGCTTTTTTTCCCTCCTCCTACCCTTCCTTCCTTCCTTTGAACAATGTTATCAGCATGCTGTATACACTCTTCTGCACTTTTATTTTTTTAATTTTTTAGTGTATTGAAGAGATAGTGCTCCATGTTTTTACATTTAGAACTGCCTTATTATTTTTTATGATAGTCACATGCAGTTCTATGTTTGAAATAGGAAAATTGAATTAATGAGTCTCTAGTGATGGACATTTGAGTTGTTTGTTATTATAAATGAAGCTTCATGAGTATATACATGTCTTTGCATGTATACGCAAATACAGGACAA